CATTCACTTTCAACTCAAGAACCAGAAAAGCCAAAAGGCTGAAATTTTGGAGTATGTACCATACCATGCGCAACCCTCTCGTCTTAATATCATCCCCCGCGGACGTCTGAATGCCGCGTACGGACGCTATGAAAAAATATGCGAATTTTTGGCGGGAAAGCGATCTCGGGAACCAGACAAGATAAGGGGATTAAACTTTGTGGGGATATTCCTTGTGCATATGTCAGCCAAAGATTTCAAATTCAGCCCCCAGGATGCATATTAGCTCAAGAAAGGGCGTATGAAAGCTTTGGTGAGAACATTGCTAACTCGGGAACCAGGAAAGCTAGAAAACTGAAATTTCAGAAGAGTTCCCTCTCCAAGTACAACTTAAATACTTCAAATCGAGCTCTCAGGTATACGTGGTTCTTACGTACGAGCACATGAAACATTTGGCAGAAAAATTGTTAACTCGGCAGCCAGAAAAGCTGGAAGCCTGAAATTTTGAAAGAATGTCCCCTGTCCAAATACAATTTAAGTACTTCAAAATCAACCCCCAGCTACGCGTGGTACTCAAGTAAGGGCGTATGAAAGCTTCTGCAGGAAAACTACCAACTGGAGAAGCAGAGAAGCGAGAAAGCTGAAATTTTAGGGTAATGTTCCCTGTCCAAATTCAACTTAAGTGTTTCGAATTCAGCCCTGTGGTACGCGTGGTTCTTACGTATGGGGCAATTAAAAATTTTGGTGAAAAACTGAATAGCTAGGTTACTTTTAAAGAACGGCCGTTAAGTGGAAATTGCACATTTACTTTATGCAGAATTTATGATGATTAATGCTAGTGACCGCAAAAGATAGGTTTAAAGCAACAACCATTCATGCAGTTAATGACCAGAGTACTTCAAGTCCGATGCAAAAACACACGATCGCACGGGCCCATCTGGTAGGTTTCAGCCTGGGTTGCATCTGTATGGATGCAAAAACGTATAATTAGGTCAACCATCGAGATTTAGCTTGCATTCAGGTAAGACCACGTCACTATTTATTTCTAAACTTGTCTACATAGATAAAAGAACGGGGAAATTGCAAGAGTCAGAGAAGTAATTTCACCGAAATTACTCGGGATATTGGCTGATTTGAATAGGACATGCAAATTAGTTGTACCTTGGCACTGGTCTGCATGACCAG